GATAATAATTGATCGTTAGAGACCTTGAATGACATGGCTCAAAATCGTTCGCAATGGCGCCGGTGCATTTATTCTTTGTGTTCTCTCAAACCCTAATCTTCTGGATTCTTCAACACCTCTAGTTTCAACTCTCTAAACTTTTCTCACCGAATCATACTTCTTGAATAGTTTCTTCTAACCTTAATCTCTCCGATTACTTCTAATTCCCTTACTACCTCTACTACTATTGGATTTGAATTGACAATTATATCTCTGTGCTGATGTGGTATGGCAACATGAACTGATGTACTTACGTACGAAGTTCTACGTTGCATCTGATTGACTTGATTATGTGTTACAATAAGGGATTCAATGACCCCTCTGGTCTTTTGAACAAATAAACTTGGAAAAGTGTCACCTGAAGGCTATCAACAGCACAGACACACTTGAGCGGTTCCAGTTGTGGAAGTCTTAGTAATGACATTAGTTATTTAGTTCATCAACCCTAAGTTGAAAAGAGGGAAGTAGATCAGCTTTTTTCGAAGTGAAGAGAGAAGTCTACCGTCTAGGAAATATGACATGAGTAAACTTAAACAGTTAAGTAAGAATGATGTTTCGTGACTGCATTAAATTTGAAAAATAGAGTTCTTAACTTTAGTGACTGACTCCATTTTGAACGAACCGTCAAATACGCTGTTGAAATAAAGCATACTGGCTATTTCCGTTTGTCATACTTAACCGAACCCCGTTCAAGTGACGGTGATAATAAGGAGCCAACTATGTTTTTGATTAGATGAGTTTATTTCAGGCAATGGTTCTTACTGATAGAAAATGAAAAGTATAGAAGCGAAGCAACGCGAACCGAAATGAGAGAAGGCGAGTGAGGCATTTCCATGCCATATATCATGAATAAATGATTTCTCAATTAGAGTTATGGAGACTAGTGTTTTTTGCACATTGAAGTCATCAGTCAATCATCGTTTGAACACCATTCAGAACCTTTAAGAACTTAATAACTGTTTCGTCCTGGTATGGGACTCATCATCTGTAAGCATCCACCAAGTCGCTCAAAGTCTGTAGATTGGTCTGAGTTAAACATTAACACCAGTGGACGCCTGCACAATGGGCCAGAGGTTAGGCGTTCGCGTTCAAGACCGAAGGTCCTAGGTTTGAATCCTGCGGAGTTCAACAGTCGTGCATGCGCACTGCTGATGAGTCCCATGTCAGGCCGAAACGACCGCCAGGCGCTTACAGGATTCCGATTACTATCTGACAATTACTGATTGATGATTTCAATGTGTAAATATTCACAGTCGAAAAGATAAGTTAGACAATTTAATAAGCAATTTACACCTAAATAAGAACAACCAAGGTTATGAACGAATAACTAACCAGATCAACAGGCGTGCGAATAATAACTCGGTTAGAAAGGATTTAGTTGGACTGTCCGAAAGTATGACAAGCCCTGTTGAGATAACAAATGAGTACGCAAATTACAAGGGATATTTCCTTTGACCTATATAGGTGAAAACGTACAGACACCTAATCAGTCTGTTTTAAGTATACAAGCAGACAGTTTACTTATAATTTTTTATACGACAGATAGATTTACTGCAGTCTACCGCCGGTCAAATTAGACACAATACATACCAACTATCTTCTATAGAATTATTCTTCCTACTATATCAAGAAACTTGTAAAATATCATACGTACGTAGGTTTACACAAAAGTCTAATAATTATATTGACATTTATGAATATGAATTTTACAAACTAAATTTTTTTTCAAAAATAACCAAAAACAATATATCTAACACATCTATTTCTTTTATCCTTATGAATACGTGAATATTTTTACTCTTTTGGCTCCATAGTATTGGAGACAGACAATATCACAATCAATTTTAGAAATAAATAAATTATTCATTTTAAACTACTACTGATCTCTTCTTGTTCAATGAAATTAAAACAATAGAAAATTAGTTATTAGGTTTATTGGCTTCAAATTTCGTGGATGAAAAAAAAAAAATACAAATGTAGAATTAGAAAAACAAAATTAACGAGTTCAATGTCCAATGGAAGATAGTTTTCTATCTTTTGACTGATGTATGTATCACAGTAACATTTTGTTATATATATATATATATATATAATGTAGATTTTAGTTCATCGGGTAGAGTATTTTCACCACATATACTGTGTTTCAAGTATACAAAATAAAAAATCATCATTTTTTTTTATATAATTCAAATTGACGCCATTTTTGTATGTATATGTGAATAATATTTCAAAGTATGTGTAAAATATTCTACCAAACAAATCAATGTTTCATGGTCACTTTGATCCACATTGATCCTCTAGGCAATAGATGCTTAGTTGTGTGCCAATGAAGTTTTTATGCTTGATTAATTCATTAACTGTAATACAATTTTCATGCTACCATATATGTTCGTCCCCTTCGTCGGCATAATCATCGTAATCAACAAACACAATGAAACAACAGTGAATCCATTAATATATAGTGAATAATTTAAGCATATTATTAAAATACATGTACAAAATGCTTAGGTTCGCACAATTTTTCAACTGGAAATATTCATAAAGTTGTGAGATGATGTGAAAAACCTTTTATCATTTTCATTTTGGCTGTTATCACTATTGAACTTGGCTTTAAACTAGACCACACTGTGGAATGATATAGGTAATTGCTCAATATTAACTTCCAAAACCAATTCTTGGAGTTTAAAGCTGTGACCTGTAGAGTAGTAGGTTTGATTCTCATGATATGTCTTTCAGTAGAAAGAAATGACCGTCGATTACTGTCATATTTCTTCATAATAGTGGTTTACTGTCGAATAAATCCGCATTTATAGGAAAATAATTCACAAAAATAAAAGTTATTATATGAAATGGGAAATTTGTGATGGTGTTTTGTTCTCTGAGTTGTATGTTTTGGTTGTAGAGCTTTCATTGTTCTTTTGATGAACAACATTATCGGCACAAAATTCAGATCGAGAAGTGAAATATTCGAATTTCTCCACGTTTGACTTGTAGGTTGTTCTGTTAACCTCGATCTTGATTATTTGCTGTTGACCTGAAACCTGTGGTTGATTGCATCTCCCATTTGATCTGTTTCTTGATTCTATGTGACCTATGATTTTTCTCAATGGTTGCAAAGTAGGTCTTGTTGATTGCTGATTGACCTAAGTGAATGTTGTTCAGTAGAACAATGAAAGCTTCAGAAACTAAAACGTCCAGCTCTGAGAACGAAACACCACCACAATCATCTACCTGAGCTACAAATTTTATCGACCATCTCAAAACTAAGAAATTGTTTTTTTTTTTATTAAGATTATACTCATTAGAAGAGAATCATATTAAATTGAAGCAACTTATTGAATGTTTCAATTGTTATCAAGAGAAAAGTTGACCTCGAAATTATTTTTCCCTTTCGGAACAACCAATTAATTTTGTTTTCTTAAGGAATTAAATTAGTTAGGATGAAAGTGTGTTTATATTAAAAAAGACTATGAATTGCACTGTTTTTCCTTTTATTTCTTCAATCAATTTGAAATCGCTGTCAAAATTTTATATACATTTTCACTGTTTTCCTAAATTTAAATTTTTAAGTTGTCTACAATAAGTTTTTACCTAGTTGACAGTATAACAAGTAGCCATAAATGTTTTTTGAATTGTTGATTTGGTTACTTACTTACTCTGTGTTCAAATATCAGTTACATATTATTATTATCATCATCATCATCGTCACAGCATTAACGGCAAAAACCGAACTGAAAGTAAT